TGTCTCCTGCTTCCTTCTGTTCAAAATGTTTTTGTTTTTTTTAAACATTGCAAGTCAAACTGGAACATCAGGTAGAAAACCTTCATAGTGAGTTACATCACTGTTCTTCCCACAGATGACGATATAGCAGTGTACAATATTAATTGTTCCCCAAAGAAGTTTGCAGAAAATGTGTCAAATATAAAGAGGACTCCTTGGAGAGGGGCCAGCACCATTTAAACTGATTTAGCTATCTTTATTTGGAGACCATACCAATTATTAATGAATCGTAACTTACAGTCACCTTTGCCTAAATGCTGAAAAATTCTGACACAGCCAGCACCAGGGAACAATGAAAACCTAGAGATCCTTCCTCTCCCTATTTCAGGAGCTCAACCTTCTGCTGCTCCATCCCTCAGTTTGGATAAACCCATTTGTCACAGCTTCTACAAGATTTACTTCACTTTCCCATGGCTATGTACCCATGAAAGTTATTTTAAGGCAACTTTTATCAGAGAAGTAGCAAGCAACACAGAACATTTGTTGATTAAATTGCTGGGAACCAGTGAGTTGCACTGTACTTAACCTGAAGACGACTCAGGGATTTTACTTACTATTATTCTTGCCCCTGTGTTTCCTTCTGCCTCCCTAACTTGTCTCTCTCATGAAGCCCATTCTTAGGTCAATTCTTGTCCTACAGTCACACATAGTCAGGTTATTGACCACTTAAGTCAGGGCAAGAGTGTCAGCCTGCCACCTGGGATCATGAACTCTTCCAGTAAATCTTCCTGCATATTCAGAAACCATCTAGTACAATAGGTCCCTAATTCCATTTTAAATCTCAAAATGCTACCACACAGTAACATTTACGATGGGTTCAGTAAAACCAAAACCAAACCCATTGTATTTATTAAACACTCCTGTGTTAAGAGGAAGACATACAAAAGAATTTTAAAAATATAACTGCCTCCTTTAATTACTAAACTCTCTCCAAACTACCTTAGCTTTAAAAAAATCCAAGACACTTTACAGTTCAAAAGTTACTTAGTTACAAAGTAACTAAGTTACTTAGTTACAAAGGACCAATAGGAAAGCCCAGTCAATGTGTTTTTCTGATTTTGAAGTATTACTAAAAAGGAATAAAAATGGAGCTGAAAAACCACATGTAAAAAAGAGAAAAAACCCTCAGAAAGTAAAAAGCTGAATTAAATTTGAGCTGCTCAGCTGTTAACATTGAACCGCTTTTCACTCACTTGAGGGCCGTTAACTGCATGTTACCTGCCTTACAGTACAGACAATTTGTTTTTTATCCCTGAGCAACAGACTATTTCCTGGTTGAGTTTAAAAACTCTGTGACGTTCCAATATCAACCCACACATGTGTGTCACTGTCAACGTCAGTGGCAGGAAAACATTAGAAGTCACCCCTTGCTAATGCTTTCCTAACATGGAATTTCCTTGTACCTCGTCCCCCTGCCCACCTCTTCCTTCAGCTGAGAGCATCCTTTCCCAAGCGCACTTTTTTTATTCCCTCCTAAACATATGGCAGGGAGAGAGGACTGAAAATGGGCAGTGCCAGCACTAGATCGCTGCTTTTTTAGGTGCTCGAGTGTAACTTACTCAAACTGCTTCGCTGTCTTGCACTCGGCGAGCACGGCCGAAGGGAAGAGCCCCCCTTGCTGGGGGCTTCCCCCGTCTCCCCGGGGTGAGGGCTCCCCCCGGGCACTGTCAGTGCCTTCCGCCGCCGCTGTTCTGGTCCCTGGAGCAGGGGGGCAGGTCCCTGCTGTCTGGGGGTGGCGGGTCCCCACCGATCCGGGGATGCCAGGGGAAGCCCGGGGGCGGGGGGCATTACCCAGCTACTGGGACCGACAGGTTCAAGGCCGTTCCGGCTCCCTGTCTCCCGGAGGCACCATGTAGTCCATCTTGCACATCGGCAGCTTTATTTGCCCGTCAGCTCGGCCCAGAAGGGGTGCTGCGGGAGCAGCAGCCTCCCTCACCCTGCCCCGCAACCCCCCGCCTTAGACATTACTCGGGGATTACGGGGCTAAGTAGGGAAAGACTGGCGTTATATAACCGGGGGAGCGTTCCGCCCTCCCGGCGCTCCCACCGCCCTCCCTCCGCCCCGGCC